ATTTGCATATTTGTATATATAAAATGAATTAATGTATGTATATACTTAGGTACGTATATCACCGCCAGAAATTATGATGTCGAAAAAATAAAGACTAAGAGTGAATCGAGAGTTTTAAATATTAGAATCAATATTCCATTAAAAAATTTGGATATTGACTACAGTGAAATATTATTCTCTTTTTGCCGAAATAATAATATTATTCAGTGAATCTTTTTATTATACTTTTAAAAACTTTTAAATTCAGTTTACTACTGATATTTGCATATAAAATGAGTACATACTAGTATATCAGTTTTCACAAACCAAAGTCGCTAGCTTCTCCCGTCGTTAGATCTATGCTAGTTTTTAAATTAACTTCTATCTGCTCTAACTTTTCTTAATCTTTTAAGGATTTTTCAAAGTACGATAATTTGTAACCGCCATGAAGATGCGAAATATTTTGCTGAGATATATGTAATACAATATATTATATATTTTACGCATTCCTTATATATGACCATACGAGTATATATTATCATGACCATATTATGTGTATGCAAACAGTGATTCGAAAATAAAAAACGGAAAATATCCTTTGATACAGATACTTGCTTTCTTCAGTACATACTTTTAACAAAGCAACGAATTAATATTTAAATAGTCTCATATTTTTAATATGTCAGCTTGAAAAACACAAGGCAAATTTCTTGCAACCAACAGAAAAAGAAAATATTTTTATGTCAAAGTTTCATGTCAGCTCTGTATACATACGTATTTAGTTTTATATAAATATATATAAATTTACAAATATGATATAAAATAATAATATTATATCTATCGTATCCTTTTGCTCTAGAGGATCTTTATATGACAATTACGGTGACACTTTGAGAAGTTCAGCAAGTTCCAGGATTGAAAGAAGGAAGCAGGAGGACAACCGGTCAATATTTTATTCGAGCCGTGCTGAGGGTCGTACTGAAGATCATTATCGATCGAGAATTGCTACACGATCGTCGTCTCGCACGATGGAAGAACATAATTTGAAATCAGTGGAAAAGCCAGTCATTCTTAGACCAACCAAAAGTGTTCAGGTGCAGCGTAAGTAACTTTCTTAGTTTTGTTTAGTATAAATATGTGCACCTTCATTACTATTTATATACTCGTATGTATTGGAGTATATTCATTTTTTTTAAAAGGAAGTGTGCACACTTGGGATAGAGATTGTCTACAAAGACGATGCCGAAAATTTGACGAAGATATCTCCATGTCTATAAAAAATGTATTGTATATACCACTTTTACTTCCCGAAAATAGACCAGTTCCCATTTGCTTGAAAGTTAAGTTGATCGCTTTTTTCTTGAATTAATTTCCGAAAATCGGATCATAGATGAATAGATGGATGAAAATTCGATATGTTCCTATTCACATTTTCCTGGAAGATAGTGAAAAGCAAAAATGCCATTGAACTATGAATATACTCGTATCTGATAAACATCCCCATAAGTAGGTAAACAAATACGTAGCTAGATCAATAATAGCTGTAAGAAACTTAATATTTTGCTTTAGTTGACATTTAATTAGGGATCTTTGTTATTCTTTTCCTAACAACTCTTTAAAATACCCATTATAAAATCTAAAAAGGACAAAATACAGTAAGCCACAATAACGAGGGACCGAGTCTACTAGTTTATAGATATTTATGAATGTAGATTTATATGAACAAGAAGCTTCTGGAATGGCTGCTTCTTCAAGTATTTACATGACAGCATTTGGAGCTGTGCAGCCGTCGATTGTGAAAGCTTCTACCTGCTATCTTGATTCGGCAAGAAAGAACTTACTTTTTATTGAGACACCAGCAAACTGTGTTAAATTTTTGAATGAATATGTATATATATACACCATGATAGCTGTATATGGCACAAGAAAAAACAAACCAAAATCCGTTTGGTTGTACGTACTAATAGAGTTATTGTTCAATAATCACAATGTCACTGCGATCACACGGTATTTCTGGTATGTCTTGAAATCACAAAATTTCTTAAAGCACAAATGAAAAATTAACCACGTGCCTTGTAAATTGAGACACCAGCAAATTTTTAAAATGATTTTTGAAACTTTTTACTACAGCTGTTTACTTTTTGTGTTTATTATTATTATTATAAGACATTTTTTTTTTTATTTTAAACTTTTTACTACAGCTCCTCCAGCACAGTCCTCCCATATGAGGAATTGAAGCTGGAATAAAATGCCAAGTTCAGGCTTGAATCGCGTATTTTGATACGATGCTGTTACGCGCATCTGCCATAAAGGTTTTGAATTCTGATCTTACGGATCGTGAGGCCCCTACAAAGTTTGTGCCGTTATCGGAATGGACGTTTTTCGGACAGCCTCTTCTGGAGACAAACCTGGCAAAAGCTGCCAGAAAGGATTGAGTGCTTAAGTCACTAGTTGCTTCCAGGTGGATTGTTTTGGTTGAGAAGCAAACAAATAGACAGACATAGCCCGTGGACATTCGACAACCTCTGCCGCTATAACTTTTGATTTCGAACGGACCTGCAAAATCTACACCGGTATTGGTAAAGGCTCGTGAAAACGTGCTGCGTTCTTGGGGGAGGTTTCATATGAGTTGAATTTCCGTTCGTTTTTTTATAAATCGTACAGATTTTACAATTATGTATCATGTTCTTCACTCGTGGAATCCAGAACTGCGTTCGGATGAGGCGTAACATCAACTGATTTTCTCCATGTACGGAGATTTCATGGATGAACTGGACAATCAGACGTGACAATCTGCAATTGTATGATAGTATTATTGGATGACGCTCGCTATACGCGAGGTCACGACATGTCCCCAGGCGACCACCGGCTCTCATAACCCGTAATTATCTAAGAAGGGGTGTAAAGGAAGTAACTCACTCTTTGAATCTAGTCGATTTTTTGACGTTATTCTATTATGTTCCGCATTATAATACTGCTTTTGACTTAGTTTTATTAAGCACAATGTCGTTGCTTTAATTTCATCATCTGAAATTAGACAAGACTTGGCTCGGAAAAAAGCTTTTGTTTTTGGGTGCGTTCTTTGAAAAAATCTCATAACATATGATAAAACTCTCAAAGCCCGCGGTAAAATTGAAAAACGGTCGAGAATATCGAGTTTGTTTACTGTTGTTATTGCATGCACATGCACCCTTTTTTCTTCTTCTGTAGTGTTGCATAATATCTCCTGTTTAGGCCATTTTGAGGGATCTCCTCCAAGCCATGTAGGTCTCTTCCACCACAGGTTATTGTTGATTAATTCGGATGCTGAAAGTCCTCTGCTTGCCAAATCCGCTGGGTTATTTGCCGAGTCTACATGTTGCCAGTTCGTATTTGCTAACCTTTTCAACAATTTTTGTGATTCTATGTGCCACGAAAGTTGACCATGAACACGGAGGCTTCCGTATCCTTACCAGAACAATGGTTGAATCCGTCCATAAATGTAGTTTTGTACCAGCTAAGCTCAGGTTGTCCATTAGTGTTTCTATTAGCTCAGCTAGCAAGACTGCCCCGCAAAGCTCAAGACGTGGTACAGAAATTATTTTAGGATTTTTAAAATAATTTCTTCTCTTAGTATTGAATTAGGAATTGTAAATATATATACAATATTTGTTTTTAAATATTGGTGACCATTTCAATTTGATATTTGAAAGTTCTGTACTAATCCTTGAGGTTAAGCCATGACTGAGCCCACGTACACAGGAACTGGAGAAATAATGGATAACCAGGAAACGCAGAGTGCAAAAAACATAAAAAGCTTACCTGATATCGTTATAAGATCTTCCACTATCGAAGTTTTTAAAGAATCTTTAGTATTTACAGAGAGTTCTGAAAATTCCAGCGGTACACCAGAAAAAAAGGATTTTGATGTTACACCGCCACCACCCCCACCACCAACACCGGTTCAGGAAAGATATTCTAATAGATGTGTCGATGTTGTAAAATCAAATACCGTAATGCAATTTAATATTATGCAAGAATCAAATATTGCGTATGATGAAGGAGTGAAATTTGTAGACAAAAAGGCAACAGGAAAAACAGCTACAGTTGATATCGGTAATAATAACACATTGCCATTAGAAAATATGGGAAGTGTCAGAATTGAAATGTTAGGAAATGATGGAACGGTAACTTCAGAGATGCATCCTCTAGAAAAAGCTAAAGATGATGCTATGCATCATACAAACATATTGAAGGTTTTAGCGGAGGCAGCACCTTCACATACTGACGACGAAGCGCTCAAAATTCCAATGATTCAAGATGATTCAATGTCATTTTCAACGGAAAACCATCCACCGACACTTGCCATAGTTGAATATCATTCAGCATTTGAGACATGCGCCAAAAACCTAACAATTGCAAATGAACGTTCCCTAAAAATTCAACGCTTATCGGAAAAAAAATTTTGATATTCATTCATCCGTATATCCCAAAGCAATACCCCTGCCACCACCAACTCAATCAAATCAGATTTCTTTACCCACTGATACTTTCTGTGGAAATAAATTAAAAGCTCAGGTAAATACTGATACTCAAATCAACCAACACCAGCATGAGAACGAGGCACTTTCATTGAATATGCAACCATCGCGCTCATCTACACCTTGCACAAGACAGACTTTGTCTTGTTCTATAGCTAGTTGTGATTTGGATCTGATCAGCGAACAGGTTAGTCCGCTGAGTGAATCTGATGAGGGAAAGGCACCAATCATAGTTTCAAAACAGCAAACTCAACGTAATGCGCTTTCGAAATCAAAATCAGCGCCTGTTATTAGCGAACGAGCTGATGATACAAATATTTGTAAATCAAAGTCAATGGAAAGATCCTTCATTATAGTCGCGCGAATTTACTACATATACGCAACGATCTACTAAATCTTTTTCATTCGAAACAAAAACAGCAACTTTCAATAAAATTTATTATATCAAATATTGTCGATTGCGATGTCATTGAACTAGAAGCGCGCGTACGACGGCTTAATATATGGAAATCCATAGATCAATAGATAATTCGCCATCGTATGAAAAAGATCACAATAAACATACTCACAATGATATGTCAAGCAAGTTAAGACTACTTAAACTTTTTGAAGCAAGTAAAGTTGATGATGTTTTCTTAGATTTCTCTTGTTGAAATATATATTCGGCAAAAGCTTCAGCTTCTTCGCGACGTCTACGTTCCAGTATAGGCCTAATGGCGAAACGATAAGTGCCAACTATGGCCAACGTGGAGAATATGCCAGCAGCCATAACGCCAACTGGTGACTTTTTTAATGCTTGAAAAAGATTACTACTGGTGCTCATCGCAACCGGTAGACACCACAGCTGGCTGCTGAAGTTGTGTCTGATGTGCATCATGCGCACTTTCCATGTCAACCTGTGTACAATTGTTATTTGCATCATTTTTATCATGGTAAGGATTGCTATGACAGTGCGTTTCTGTGTGATCATCATGCGATTGCGCTGATGTGTTGGTTGCTGCTCTCGCTGAGAATCTGTTTCCGAAGAGTTTGGTGTTTCATTTGTTGGTGGTACAACAAAGTGTCCAACCTTTGTAAATTTACTCGGGAATGAACGTCGTCGATTAATTGACATATTGCTATTATTGTTACCANATAACTTGAATTGATTAAATAGACGCAGAAGTGATTTGTGAGTAATCGTGGTAATTCTGGGTTGTAGATACCAAAATCAACTTGTGACAATGAAGTGCGGTTATATTCCCCGTTAACAAGAAGCGGTGTTAATATGGCAATAAGTTGCAACACAATGAAATAATTTGATGTGATAAGAAGTTGAAAGCTGGTATTTAGTCAACCGAGACTTTGCAAGTGAAAAGTAAATTATGATAGAAATGTTGCACACAAAAGTTTTATTGAGACACCAGCAAACTGTGTTAACTTTTTGAATATGTATATATATACACTATGATAGCTGTATATGGCACAAGAAAAAACAAACCAAAATCCGTTTGGTTGTATATACTAATGCGGTTATTGTTCAATAATCACAATGTCACTGCGATTCACACGATATTTCTGATTTGTCTTGAAATCACAAAATTTCTTAAAGCTCAAACGAAAAATAAACCACGTACCTTGTAAATTGGTTTGATATAATTCGGTGATGAGTTTGATGAGTGATAATAGATATGTAGATTATCTTATGATGGTGTTTGTGTACGCTCTTGTAGCAAGTATTTTCGTTTGAACGGTTTGATGGTTGTGGATGTAGTCTCCGGTAGTGCTGGTTCTGTCTGATTAGAGTTATACGTTAAATTGCCTTATCCGGCTCGAAGGACCAATAGATACACCGCGCGTCGAATTTGAACGCTCCGGTGTATGTTTATATGCGTGAGAATAAATCAAAGAAAATACAGGATTGGTTTAAGACTTACTTGCAGACTATTTATTGAGTTAGACTATTTGGTTACCTGTACACTAATCTGTGCTTTTTTGATGGGGGTGATGGCTGGTAATTCGTTCTGCAGGACACGTCCGTTTGCTTTTACTGGTATGATCGCAATTCCAAAAAACAAATTTAAGTTTGTACCGGACGCCGTCAATATGTTAAAACCGTAATTCATGTATTGTGGTATTTAACGAAAGATAACTTAGTGGTGAATATAAACACTAGGGTGGTACCATAAGGATTGGTAATTTAGGCTTTTGGCCTAAACATAGGCCAAAGGGGAGCCTACAGAACTCGTATTTGCCGTTATTGACCGAGAATGCCGTTTTTTCTCGATCCCTTTCAGCTAGCTTAGTTTGGTGGAAGCCGGACTTGAGGTCCACTGTTGACTTTTCCAATATTAGCCAAAATAACGGAAGTATCTGGAATCGGATACTTGTCACTAACTGTTTTGTGGTTCAGTTTCCTAAAGTCTATCACGAGTCTGGATTTCCTATTACCGTCCTCATCGATGCCGTTTTTACTTATAACCCAAATTGGATTATTGTAAGGAGAGCGGTATGGTCTTATTATACCGTCACGCAAGATATTTGAAATTTCCTTATTCACAAACTCAGCTGAAGCTATAGGGTATGGGTAGCTCCTTGAGTAAAATGGAAGGTCATCGGTGGTCCTTATTGTTCCTATAATATTGGTTTTATAGGGTAGAGCTTCGTTGGCGTCCGCGAAAACTTTAGCGTGTCGTTGCAATAATGCGGGACTGCCCAGCTCGTTCGCGTTTATTTCTGTTAATTTATTAACATCCGGGCAATAGTGGTAAAAGAGCTTTTCCTGTCCACCGTCATAACTAAGTAGTCCGTTTTTACAATCTGTTTTACCGTTCACTCCCGTTAATATGTCAAAACCTATGATACCGTCGAAGGTGTCCAAGCTGGGCAAGATAAAGAATTTAGTATTTTTATTAAAAATGTTGATTGTACAACTTTTGTCAATGTTGTACAACTTTGTTGTGCCGTGAATAGATTAGACTGTAAAGGTGTGGCTTGCAGATTTGATTCCCTTTAGGTCATCGAGCTGTTTGATGTAACTCTTCGCAGCACCAGTGTCAATAAGGAATTTTATACATCTTCCCCCGATCGTCCATTCGATATATGACAAGAGGGATTTAGTCCTAAAAAATTTACATCATCATTTGGTTCGTCCTGGTATTCAACTGGATTACACTCTACATAATCCTCGCTCTGGTAGTAACTGGCGTAACTCCAGTATTCTCTCTCAGGCTCGTCCTGTTCCTGGATTGCCGTTTATTTGGACGAGGAGCCTTTGGATAGGCACCTTGATGGAACCTCCCATTATTACCATTTATTGGTTGGAGTTTATTTTGTCTGAACCTTGAGAGCGATGGATCTACATCCATTGGTACGACTCTTTGTGTGTGAGCCCATCGTTGTTGGTCAGGCCGAATCGTTCGATACTGTGGTAAATATAGAAACTGGCTGGGACTTTGAAATGTTTGCCTGTTAAAGGACTGGGCGAACATGGACCTGGCTGGATTTGATTCAAGCTCCTGTGCTAAAGCTAAAGCGGAGGGAAGGTCATTAGGCCTGAAGGAAAACAGTACATTACAAAAAGGACGATTGAATCCCGAAATAAGTGAGTGACTCTATTAGGGTAGCATTTCCACCATGAGTCATGATCGTTTTATTTATTATGAGGGTCAGTTTCCTTTCGACCTCATCGTAGAACGCTATCACTGATAGTTTACCCTGCCNCTCCTTATAAAACAACGCTGTTGCGAAATGACGACGGAAAAACGTTCTTTGCTATTGCTATTAGATAATATAAATATATAAATATAAATACTACAATGAAGTTTATGATTTCACCCTATTTCATATCATTATGAAAATTAATTTATTTCATCAAATAAATATGGAAGCGAAATTATTTAAAACAATTTGAAATAAATTCAAAGTAAATTCGCATCATTTGCCTACTTGTTATTTTTTTTTTATCATCGCCGCCGTAAAAATGCCGAGAAAACATAAGAAGATTACCCCTTCGAGATGGACACTCATTCTGTCTGTGAAACCTGAGGCATTTCGATGAACAATTCACAGTTCTTTTCCCTTCTTATTAACATACGTTCTTTGGTGCCGTCTTGTATTTTCGCTTGTCCATTGTCTATTGTTACTAGTCGTGCCTTACTGTAATCCAAAATTTTTACATCGTCTGGGGAGGATGTAATATACCGCTTTTACGATTTAAATTGTTTACGATTAAAATTGTTAGTTAGTTCATTTTGCCTGAAAGTAAATTGCCCAAGTCTTTATTAGTGCTTTGTGAATTATTCGTCCTGCTGAGATTTTAGCTGCTGTTTTATTGCTTTCGGCTACAGTTTGTTTCTTGTACTTTGGACTTAATTTCGATCCTAATCTTTTATATAAATGGTATCTCCTGCAGAATAATTTTTAATTTTAGATCTTTGCTTGTTATGGTAAGATAAGTCAATCTCCTGCATTCTTTTTAATTGAGCAATGTTTTTTTGGTTTGTTGTTCTTGTTGTAAAGGGTCAGTAAAAATTCTGTTTTCGAAAAACATGGTTATTGTTTGGGCTTTTGTTGTAGATTGGATTGATGAGTTATATTCTTGTACTGATTTGAATAGTTATTTCTGGAATGTTATTCCCACACAAGTTGGTTTGAGGCATTTTAGAAAGTGTACTATGGAATCTCTCTACTTGCCCGTTACTTGTGCTGCTATAAGGTGGTGTGGTATAAACGTTAATGGACATTTGGCATGATACGGTTATGGAATTTAGGGATTTAGGGATGTCTCCTGGGGACTGAGGAATGGGAGTTTCTTGTATCTGTGACTTCGGTGGGTGTCTATCGTATTTGTGTTCACGACATTTGTAATATTGCTTGACTATTTTTTTCTATTTTCGAATGCATGCTTGGAAAATAAAATTTTTGTAAAACTTGTGTTTTATTTTCACGACTATTTCTGTGTGCTCTTTGGTGTTCATTAATGATTATTTGGTCTCGTTCTCTTTCTGAAACCAGGTCTTGAAGTAAAGTTTGAGTAAATCGAATTTTCACGTTTGCGAAATGGAGTGGGTATATTTCTCGTATTTTACCCATCAGATTTTCTGTAGTTTAAAAACCGTTAGTTAAAGCTGGGTCAAGATATCTGTTGAATATATATTTAATGTCTTGTGTATAGTAGTCTGGTTTTGTGATGGTGTGTCTGTGAAAAGTTGGAAAGGGCATTTTAAACGAGTAACTATCTTCGTTCGCATATTGTAAGAATAACTGATTTTTGAATGCATGTATTGGTGCTTCGGTAGCTGGGATTAGGTGATGAGAAGAGCTTTCATCGCTGTGGTCTGTTGATGATAATACATTGGTGTTGGTATGTGGGGGTCTAGAGAGTGCGTCTGATACGACGTTTGTCTTTCCTGGCACATATTTCATCTCGTAGTTATATTCTTCAAGGATGCACTTCCATCTCTTCATTTTGCCATTGTGATTTTTATTACTCAATGCAAAAGTTAGCGGTTGGTGATCTNTACATTGTATTATTTTAACTTGAGTGTATTTGGAAAATTTGTCAATTGCTGTAAGGATAAATTTCTATTCTGTTGAATAAATATTTATATGGACGATGTCTCCTGGGGACTGAGGAATGGGAGTTTCTTGTATCTGTGACTGTACTGTGAGTGGGATTGCCTGGTTATTTCGTCTTGTAGAAGATTTTCTATTTCTTGCTTAACGAAGTCTCTCATTACCAGAGGGTAGGGGTAGTATTTTGTGTGTTCTTGGGTCTCTGAGGAGGTTCTAATTTCTCCTACTGCAGTAGTGGTGTATGTGAGTTTCCCGTCTGGTTCGGTAAATAGATTGGGATTTTTGTTTGTGAGTTGGTGTATGTGTACTTTTTGTGTGTGTTTAGCATTTTTAGAATTTTACCGTTCTTCTTTCTAACACTCAACATATGGTAACGAAGAACTCTTCATCCTAAAAAATTCATATCAATGTGGTCGTGTATTTCAAAAGGTTGTTCGGGGTATTCTTGCAGGTTCAGCTCGTTTTCATCACTGGCTAATGGTGCACTATACTACTGCATAGTAGGAGTCCAGTCTTGTTCGTCATAGCACAATTCTTCATTTTGAACAGGTTCTATATAAAAATTTCGTTG